AGGAGGGGTCATACAAACTGCTCAAGTGTGCTGCTATGTGACATTAACTCTTGGTAGAGAGCATAGTTAACTCTTTAATACCGACTCAAGGTACAATTCAAATGGAGTTGTATTTACTATACAATAAGGTTAAAACTACTCTTCCTGGAGAGCGTGCTTAACTCTAAATATAGAGTTCAGGCAACACTTCTAATGGAGTTGTCATTACTCTCCACAAACGAGTGGATTCAACTCTCCCCGGAGAACATGTTTAACTCTTGCATACAGAGTTTAGGCAACACTTCTAATAGAGTTGCGGCTACTCTACACGATGGAGTGAGGGTAACTCTTCTTGGCGAGTACGCGTAACTCTTGAATACAGTGTTCAGGCAACATTGTAATAGAGTTGTAGTTACCCTACACGAAGTAATGAAGGTAACACTTCCTGGAGAGTATCCTTCACTCGTCAACAAGGAGTTTCAGCAACACTTCTGATAGAGTTATAGTCACTCTACACAAAAAAGTGAAATTTACTCTCATCAAAGAATTTAGGCAACACTTCTCATGGAGTTATAGTTACTCTACACAAAGGAGTGAAGGTAACACTTACACTTACACATCAAAAGAGTAACCCTGACTCTCTCAAGGGTATTGGCGTGACTCTCTATAGAAGAGTTAAATGAACACTTGTATGGAAGAGTTAAACATACACTTGCCTCCGAAGAGTTATAGTTACTCTTTAAAAGAGTGGATTCTGTGACAAGCCAGTTACACTCCAAAAAGAGTTAAATCGACACCTTTTTTTTTTAGAGTGTATATATATACACAGCTACGTGGCTGGTTGGAACGACACATGACCGACAACGACATGTTGATATTATATTTATTGATTACTCGAAACCGTTTGACCGGGTTTCTCACCCTAAACTACCGTTAAACCTCGTACGGATCCTAAAATAATTCAAAGACTACTTCCTGGCTTGAAGTAAGCTCTGATCGCTTACGGGTTTCCCTACTTAAAACAAAATACAGTCATCAGCATAAAATCTCATGTCGACACCAACACAACTTTCAACGTCGTTAATAAAGATAAGAAATCAAAGTTATCCCAAGACAGAGCCCTGGGGGACTTCCAACTAAACGTCAGCCGCGGCCCAGAACAGGTCCTACCCAGAGAAACAAAAAATCAACAAGCCGTTAACCGCTCTCTATGACGGCTGTCCGAGTGTGCTCGACCTGGCAGTCAATATTACAAACTCTGTAAATATTACCTTTTTTTGTGAAGTTTCGGCACTTAGTTTCTTTTACCATGTTAATTATAACACTCTGCAAAGTATCGCCACGTTCAAATATCTGGGAGCATTTTTTTTTGTTTCTAATTTAAAGTGGAATGCACACGTTGGCTATGTTGTTCGCAAAGCTCACGGCAAACTTTGGTACTTGAAGCGTACTATGAAGCACTGTTCTTCTGGTATAAAGATCCCTTCATAAATGTCTGGTAAAACCTGTTCTAGAATGTGCTTCCCAAGTTTGGGATCCGCACACAGCTATAGTAAGTTACAGGTCAAGAAGGTATAGCGGCAAATGCCCCTTATAGGTATTCATATATCCCTCCGCCACCTCCGCATCCAATAGCGTCCCATCGTTTCCGTAACGTCGCGGCCAACGCGAGAGGAGGGTCTTGCCTTTCTGTACATATTTGCCTTATCTTTCGACTTTGACTTAGCGTTGTGGAAGCCACGACAGGGAGACTAGAATTTTCCCCCTCCGATGGAAACAAATACGACTTTGGGGGGTTAGGTTCGCCCTCCAATAGATGCGCAGGTCGCTTTCTTAAAATGGGGGGTCGGAGACAAGTTGGTATCACTCTGTAGCCATTATCTATTCATTGAAGCGGATCAAAGGGCGCTTTTAGGGAACTCTTCTTTCGACTGCGGAGGGATTTGAAACGGGCGCATCACGCTTGTGGGAGGAGCTTCTCTTACCTTCTTGACTTGTAACCGACTATAGTCACTATACTAACATTAAGAAATTATAGAAGTTGCGCAAGTTTTCACTGCGCTGCATGTACAACCAATACAAAGAAACGAATCCGTTGCCAAAATCAATTTGAGCGATTCTCTATACGGAGTCGCTCAAAATGATTTTTTTATCGTCTAGGCGTTGTAGAACGAGGCTAGAATTTCTATACTGTATGTTAAACGGTGACTTGAACATAGACACTACAAAGTATTTAACTTTCTTGTTCCCTTTCTGTGTAGAAGTAAGTCTTTTAATTTTTTTTCCCCACGTACAATCGAGGAATGGAATAGGCTTTCTGAAGCATGTGAAAATTTGACATCAGCTGATTTATTTCTCAACACTTTGAAAAATTGTTTGTGAAAAGGTTTTTTGGTCGTTTATTTTTGTTATTGTTGCATTTTTGCGTATATTTCTAATGAGAATTTTGCGTCTTTCTGTTGTTTTTTTTATAACTTTTTGCGGAAATAACTTTTTTAACTCCTTCTGTCACAACCTCCAAAAGGAGGTTAGCAGTACGTGTAAATAAATAAACAAATGTTAAATTTTTACGTAGCTGAGTTGGGAAAAATATAGCAAATCACTTTGTTTTCCGACTGGAAGGCACTAGAATTGAAAGGGTTATCTTGCCATTCTACTCTTTTCTTGACTATACTTTTTAATGAGATAGCATTATTAAGCTGTAATCAGCACAGATTTGTGTCTATCTGGAATCTGGCGTCGAATAATTTCCCGCTAAATTTTGCGGGAAAATTTTTCGCTAAATTTAGCGGAAAATTGATATCACGTGACCTATGCACCAATTCAGTCTCTCCGCTGACTTCGGCGAGAAAATAGGGAGTGTTCGTAGGTCGTTTTCGCCGTCCCGCAACGGCCCTCCGCAACCTTAGCGGAGGGGGAAACGCTGTCTACTAAAATCGACGTCACGTCACGTCCCGTCTTAATATTTTTTTCTTCCCGGCCTTAGGGGTTCTTGTTTGCCTGCCTTGCACGCTTAGCAGCGTCATTTGCTGCCTGACGCTACTTTCGCTTCGTTGTTAACCGAATTCGGCAGCCAGTCCCCTCCGCGTTCACAATCCGTCTTTTTTTGCCGCCTACTTGGACTAGCGCTTGTACTTTGTTCATTTCTCCCTTTTGTAGCACAAGCCAAGGCATACGGGCTCCGCACACCTGAAAGTTCAGAATCGCCCCTGCATCCGCGCGCTCATTGGCTTCCGCCCCGTGACGTCACCTCCCTCTCGCCTTTGTCCTACTCTCCTCCTCTCCACGCGGCGCGCTTCCCTTTCCACTGTTTTGTACGCAGACGGACGCCGTCAGCTTTTCTTTATGTGAATACTTATATTTACGGCAGAAGCGGCAGGTCCAGTTCGGTATCTTCCGGCGAAGGCGTTGCTGCTTCCACATCAGCGTTCGGGTTTCTTGTGTGCCGGAGAGACAACGATGGCTGGAGGCTCGCGGCGGAGCGTCCCGTGTACTGGGTTTCTTGTTCGACTTTAGTCCTAAACAGAGTTCGAATTGACGGGCGGTTGTGTCGGCGACTCTCGGGGCTTTCCCTAAACGAAGGTCTCCCTGGTTCGCTGCCTTGGAGACTTGGCATTGCCCGGTGGGTTCCTGGTTGCTAGCGACTCTGGAGACCTATGTTGCGCTTTTTGGACTCACACGGCGACGGAGAAGGAAGGGACGTCAACAACGCAAAAAACGCAGATTGGATGTTTCTTCTGCGGAAATTCGTCATCAGCGACTCTCACTAATGAACATCCAATCTGCGTTTGCTGCGTTGTTGACGTCACTTCCTTCTCCATAGTCGCCGTGCCCAAAAAGCGCTACATACGTCTCCTGGTTCAGGCCGCTTACCGGAGCGCCCTGGCCTGGCTGTCGGTTGCTGGCTGTCCGTACCCGAATCTCTCTCGCGCCATTATTTTCCCGTCTTCCTTCCTCTTCTTGGTGTCCGGGAACGGCCATGACATCCCTGATCCTTGCGTTCCGGTGTGCCAAAGACGTCTTTTGAAGCACTTGTTCGTCGTATTCGCGGCTCCATCGAGCTATAGGGGACGCCACTATCGAGCCAATATGGCGGTCTAAAACGGGTCGTGCCGTGCCATGTGCTGCAGCTCAGTCCCAGCACCAGCATAGACTGGAACAGACATAGCATGACATCCCTGATCCTTGCGTTCTAAGACGTCTTTTGAAGCACTTGTTCGCCGCATTCGAGGCTCCGTCGAGCTATAAGGACGCCACTATCGAGCCAATATGGCGGTCTAAAACGCGTCGTGCCGCGCCATCTGCCAGCTCGGTGCCATTACGCGCTAGACTGCAACAGACGTAGTTGTGACTGCCGCTGAAGAGATCCTACAACGCTGAGGGCTTTCGGCAGCCGCCATTCTGGAGGTGTCGCTGCGTCGGGCGCGTCTGCACTCGTCGGCCAAAGGGACAGTATACTTGAGCACAGAAGCAGACATTTGATCCAACAACATTTAAGGGTGGCAGTGAGCTGGTGCAGGTTAAAGACGGTGGTTGCTCTGCTGTTCTTTGAAACGTCTTTATTAGAGTATATGGGGCATGAATCAGCCGGATGCGGGCCTTGTTGAGAAGGGTATATATGGAACGGGATGGCAGGGAGCGGGAGGATGTGTGTGTTGTGTGTGTGTGTGTGGGGGGGGGGGGGGGGGGGGGGGGTTGAGCGAGGGGAAAACACCCAAGTCTGTTTTTACTTAAAGTACACAGCGCAAACGGATAGACCTCTATGCATTTCTCCTGTGCTTATCAATCATACTGAAGACAGTCTGCTACACTCTCTGAAGAGTGTTCCCTCTTCGATGCTGTAACATTGGCCATACAAAAACTGTCTGCAAACATGTTCTAATCATGCATATGGATGGAAAAAACATGCTTGGAGCATGCTTACATGTGCGCAGATACTTAATCTGTCATAGTGTCTTTTGTATGACGTCTGAGGAGCGTGACTGTGTCTCAACTCGGCGCTCTCCACTTGCCGCAGGCGGATCGACGGACTCGTGGACGAAGCAGCCAGGACGCGGGAGGAGCGTCGGTAGCCATGTCTTCCTCGGCGGTGGCGTCGTGTCCCTCTGCCCCGGCCATGTCGACCGAGTTCTTCGGCGTCTACCAGAGCATGGTGGGCGAGCCGGGCACCGGCTACAGCTACTTCACGCCGCCATCGGTGAGTGACGCTCGGCCATCGCGAGCACGCGGCACCTGAATAAAGACACATATTAGTAATATACTCCGTTAAATGCTCATTTTTGCGTAGTTCGTCCATTGTTAAGACAACGAGCTAAAAGGCACTTTTTTTTTTTTTTTTGTCATGGGATGGGGTTTTTGCTGTTATACTACGTCTCACTGTAACTTGGTAAACGACGAAGCCTACGGTCTCACTGGGCCAATCAGCGCGTCGGAGAAAGACACGTGACTATAGAAACATGCACACGAGTTAGCGTTTACCGGGTGTGGGCGCGTGCGCGGAAACCAGATTCCCGTAAGGTGAAACGTCCGCGCATGCGCGGTGCCGACAGCAACGTCACCGCAGCGGTATGATGTCATAGTCGCGTGTTGGCGTATACAGTAATATACTCTATCTCACTATAATCATCTAAAATCCGACTTTTCGCGAAGTATTTCAATTGTGACTTCAGGGCAAGCTTCTCCCACCTCTTTTCACTGCAGCAGAGTGGACGGTGGAGAAGAGGTCGCCTCCCATCCAGCGACTGCTATGCTAACGTAAAAAGAGGTGGGTGGAGCTTCCCCCGAACTCTTTTAACCTGGCACCGAACCATTTATAAATGGTTAGAATGTATGCTGCAACATAGCCTCTTATATATATATATATACTGTCAAAGCCTGGCAGATCGCCATGAGAAGCGGCCACCAAAATGAAAAAGGGGCAGCGGCAGACAATGGATGAGACGAGAGCCCCGTGATAAGCGCCCCGCTGCGGCGAGACGCCGAAACACACTTTCTCCCGAGCGAACAGGTGTTGTTTGGGCCCTCGCCGCTACAAAAGCTGTGCGCTGACGTCCAGGTTCCCCGAGAAATGGCTCTTCGATGCTTTGTGCTACCAGATCCTCCCGCTCCGAATCTGCGACCGGGCACTCTATGGCTCCGTCGTCGAGCTGCCAGGATTTGTAAGTATAGAGGAGGCTATGGGAGTGTTGATAGTAGCTCAATAGGACGTGTGCTGCACCGCTTCTGCGTCGATCGCCAGTCTTTTCAAATAAAATCCGTAAAACCAACAATATTAAAAAAAGAAAAAAAAAAAAGAGGTACTCGAATTCCGCGGATAGTGTGGGGGAATGCACGCTCGGACGAGTTCGGCCGAGAAGCCAGTGAACCAGGACGGGTCAGGTTCGACCACCATCGGGAGTTCGGAGGAACGAAGGAACCCTTTGCCCGGCCGGCTGCAGGGTGCATTTCTTCGCAGATGGAAGCTGTCAATACCGCCTAGTAAGACGAGGCCTGCTCATGACGTCATCGTAAGTGGATCCCGGTCCCTCTTGGGTCTTCCTATAGGAGCATTCCTCCGGGTCTCCCTAGAGGGTACCCGGATGAAAACTAAGATTGCTTTCAAAATAAATATGTTTGCAACTCAAATTATGGCCGTTTTTTTTTTTTTTTTTTTGCGAGAAAATTAATTATGTGAATAGGGATTTAAACCGCGGTCTCGCTGATAATACTTCATACAAAAGACAGTCCGCGAATATGTTCGAAGCGCACGTATGTTGAGCATGTCCGCAGATTTATCTGCGGAGAAACTCCGTGTCCTTTGTATGGTGTAGAGTATGAGCTGTGTGACCACGCGGCTTTAGTGGCGTATAGGTGAACCTCAGAGAGAGACCAAAGAGGTAAGGGGGTATTGCGAACATTTGATTTAACTGGAGGTTTGACGTCGAACTTGGTCGGTTCTCGAGGCTTCGAACTTTTCGCAAACTTTGGCGACTAGATTGGATTCGGGTTTCTTCGGCTTCCCCTTTTGTAACGGGTGGTCACGGAACTTTGGATTCTGGATCTAGCCAGTTGGCTCCCCGGCCACTTCCATCCGCTGTCTCGTCCGTATGAGACTGGAGCAGACATCTGCACGTTACCCCCCAAAAAGTAACTAAATACCGGTACTGGTTACTCGCTCAAAAAGTAATGAAGTACGTTACTCGTTATCGATTTTCAAAAGGAACGCGTTGCTTTACCTCAAATATAATGAGTTACCTTTCTCGTTACTTTGACGACCAAATACACGACTGATTTAGTTTCATGGCTGATTGTTTACTTTCCAATAGTCGTCGCGTTTAAGCGTTACATGCCTCTCCAAGTTTTCATCGGTTATGTTTCTCCGCTTTCTTGAGGATACATCTCCGGCAACGCTGAAGGGTCGTTCCTGACGCGTCCTAAGGAACGGCAGTGTTCTGCTTCAGAAAGAGAATGGGGGATATGGGATCCCGCTCTCTCTTTTGTTCTGTCTGCTTCCAAAGTCACAAGTTGACAATAGAGAGTTTTAGTAGATCGTTCCCATGACTCCGATAACGATACCCGATACTCCGCAACCGCATCCCTTGCGCATGCATAGTATCGTTATCGGAACTATCAGAGGTATCGGAACGATCTACTAAAACTCTCTATTGAACTCTGTGCCTTCCCACGTTGGCACCCTCCGAGTTTACATTCGGTCTGTACACGATTCTAGAAGCTTCAACCAGCGAACCTTATTGTGTTCTCTTGGGGAAGGACATTCCCAGCTGTAGAGTTCGACTGACGTGTTTCGTGAAAAAACGTTGCTGTGCTGTCAAACTCTTTAGTTGTTTTTGTGGTTACCCATGTGCGTCGCAGTAGACGCACACTCAGGTTAGAATCAAAACGAGGCTGTTTAAACGGTGTTGTGCAGGTTACTCCTCAGAGGTAACGAAACGCGGTTAATCGTTACTTGGCCTTAAAAGTAATTAAATACGTTACTCGTTACCGTAAAGAGTAACTATACTCGTTTTCTCCTCAAGAAAAAAAAGCGCGTTTTGCGTATTCTTACAAGTTCTTACAAGATTTGATTTTCGAATCAATATGTGATACTTTCTGCGTTTGGAACGTGTACGTCTTGATCAGATTACACTTATCTAATCTAAAATGCGCCTACATATACCTTAATTTTCTACATAAAAAAGGAAAATTAGTAACGTTACGTGAGCAGCCGGACTCGTTACTATTGTCGCGTTATATGTACATGTCTAGATAGGAGTCGGGTTCCACATGTACACACGTTCGACTCATGTTCGACTTAGGAACAGGGTTGCCCGACTTCTACACTAAAACTTCTACTTCGAAGGAAAAATATATAAAGTACTTTATATATATTTTGTTAAATGATTACCGCCGTTTCCACAACACAAAAGCAAACGCATGTCTTTAGTTAGTTTCATATTGTGAAACAATGAAACAGTATACCCACTAACTAGTGCAGTTTCCTTCCACCAGGTGGCGTCCGCTGGGTTTAAATTTTTGTAGCGCACAAGAGTCGAACTTCAGCTAAACTTCAGTGGAACATTTGCCGAACATTTGTCGAACTTTTGTCGAACATTTGTCGAACTTTGAGTTAGAAGTTTGAAAATGTCGAACCTTGTTGAACTCGAACCTAGGAACATTTTTGTCTTTTACCAAGGTCACTCACTGGCAAATGTGTTTCCTCCCTTTACGTCGGTCGACGTTGAACGAGAAAAAGAGAGAAAGAAAGAGAGGCTTTTTATTTTTTTTTTGTGAGGTTTTTTTGGAAAGATTTGGGGGCGAGGAGGAAAGTGCGGACAGCCGAGCACGATATTTCCCCTAGAACTGTACGTATACACGTATTTTACGAAGAAAGCAGCTAACGACGTTCAGATGACTCGACCTTCTTTGAACCGTTCCGGCTTCGGGAATCACGTGTCTGCGCTCAAGCGAGAGCCCAAATGGAAAGTTTATCGTGCAAAGCGGCCGGGGCATGTAACTCGTGTAAAGGATGGCTTGTACGTTTACCGCGAGGCGGCGCTCAGACGAGCCTTGCTCGAAACAACACGGTCTCGGATTTCGGCTCGATGCACAATACAATGATGTTAGGCTAGTTCCGCCCATCGTGGAGTAGAATAAAAAGAAAATATATAAAAGGCGGTGGTACGTCTACATCGTCTGGCACGGGCCATTTCCTGAACTTGATCATGCCGTATCGGCGTCGAACTGCATCGTTAAGGTGCACAGTTGGAGTCACGAGGCACCGCTGGGTTCGTGCCCAGATGTAGACCTACAGACTGGGACCCGCTGCAAAAGTTTTAAAACTGTTATTCAATTTAAAAGATATTTGCTATTTTCGAAAAAAAAATTCAATTTCAAAACGGCGGCCAGTGGAGCAGGCGAATTTATGGAAACGAATAGCGCATATTGAGAACAAATCCCACTTTCTAAATTTCTTAAAATATACTTTTTTCTTTTTTAACGTGACAACTTTGTGCACCCCTGGCAACAGTGTGCACGCTCTCCATGATGAAGGGATGTTTTTTCTTCGGCCCGTTGGCCCTGCGTCAAAAAGCGGCATGGCGAATGCAAGTTACGTGACTCCTTTCCTATTGCCGGCTGGGAAAATAACCCTGCTATAGCTAGCTTGCTAGGTATGAAATCTGAAATCAAAGAGCTCTCTCATGATGATGTGTCTGCAAGTCATTTTTGGAGTTCACAAAACATCTAGCACATTAAACTCGAAAACAAAAATGTCCTCAATGGCAATTTAATGCGATGCTGTCCCCATACTACACGGTAGAAAAAAAAGTCACATGGTGTAGGGGATGCTTCAGTAACATAAACTGATTTTCGAAAAACGCGTCTGCAAAACAAAGATTTTTTTTTTTTTTTTGTGTGTGTGTGTGTGTGTGTGTGTGTGTGTGTGTGTGTGTGTGTGTTTGCTTGCTTGCGTAAGAGCAGAAAACGTTCGCAGGGCTGATACGCGAATTCGACTGCTCGGTTTGCCACGCCCACGGTATCTGTCTATCGACTTACACAAAGTAGGGGTACAATGAAACAACAATGTAGTGTAGCAACTGCATGCATTATCGTGAGGCTGGCCGAACGGCAACGGATGCGCCGGGTGAAACCGACGCTCTTTGATCCGCGTCAAACGTATCTTTCTAACAGCAATAGTAAAGGAAACGCCAAGCAGTATAA